TTGACTATTTGGAATGAATGCATTTGAGGAGAACTTGTCGGTTGCACAGCGGAACATAATGATGTTTGATTTGTGAGTGTAGCTGACCATTTGATTTGAGTTGCGGAGATAGAAGAGAGGGTGTTGAATTTTGTGATGGAGGAGTGAAGTGTCCCAGAATGATTTGTTCAGTGTTAACAGCATGTGGACCACTCTCCCCCTCATGACGATCCGATGAATCGGGACGTCATGCTTTTATTCTTTTATTCTGCGGAAATAAAAACATGAAAAACAAGCAGAATCTAAAAAAGATAACGTAGCCCCCCGGGGTCGTGAAGACACCCGTTATCATCACTATAGAGATAAACTCTAAAGCAATGGCCTGAAAATGTTGGTGATTCTTATGTTGCAACAGCAGGACTTCCTTCCAATTATTGGTCTACATCTGTAATAGATGAGCCCTATGGAAGTTCTCGCAAGTCTTGAAGACTAGCAACTGACTCTAAAATGTGTCTGTGTCCTAGAAAATTCAAAACATTTGGGAAGTGAGTAACTAGACACGACGTGATCAATGAAAGTTCAGTGGCATGGGGCTGAGGCCACTGTAGTCAGTATTACTTGCCTCGGAAGGAGACAGTAATGAGAGATGCGGTTCCCCGTGAACTATGATTAAACACCTGTCTGTTGGGAGACAAGTGAGTGGTCTAGGGTAGGGTTGTGCATGCGCCGTTTGGACAAAATGCAGCGACTTCTACCCGGGATCTGAATAAATTCAGTCCTGAACCTATGGGGATAGTCCAGAGTATTTTAGTGGCTAGGAGCAAATGTTCAATTCATAACAGGCAATTGAGGTAGCAGACTCATCATTGATAATTGTTTTTCTTCTCACTTGAGCCTTCTGCTTCCTAATGCTCATAGTGTTCACTCACTCACTCGCTCACTTACGCACTTACGCTCGGCTTTGTCCCTTGGGTAGGCTTAGTTGGGTTTACTAAGCCATAGGGACATGTTCTCTCATTACTTTCTTCATTTTCTCTCTGTACTCCCCCTCAACTGGAGCACTCGGAATGCTTTGTCATTGTTAGGCGCCGGGGAGGATAACATTGAACACTCCCCCTAAAATGTTGCATCCTTTGAGAGATTCCTTGCTTTGTCGGTGTAAGGCGCCAGGAGGAGAAAATTGAAACTCCCCCTCAGAATGTGCAAGATTTGATTGCTCACAGCTCGTCATACCCGCCATGTGTGTGGAGCAATCTGAACATGTACCACACATGACGGTTTCCCTGACCTCATCATGTAGAATTTCAGCATATTGATGATCACATAATGTTGACGAGTCAGGAGAGGCTTCATCAGTTGATTGTTGATTGATGTAAGATGACCGTTGACGCGAGGTTGATTGAATTATCTACGATTTTCAGACCTTTACATTGAAGTTTAGAAAAGCTTTGACCTCAGGGTTGACAATGAAAGAATTTGAACAGATTTGCCTAAGTTTTGACCTGGACATCGGTGATTTACAATGTTTGTCGGAAAACTAACTTTTTAACCCTCAAAGACTGCGAGTGAGGGCGCGTGAGAATGGGTTCTGGGGCATAGCCCTAGACTTAATGTAGATCGTCTCGTTAGCTTTCCAACAAAAAAAAGTTTGCTCAAATCGGATCACCGAGTCAAAAGTTATGGCCAAAACAGTGCGGTGTCGCAGAAAATCTCTAATTTTGAGTTTTTGAGGAATTTCTTCGAAGATGAGGTGCTCGATGTTGAATGTCGAGAGCAGGTGGATTTTAAACAAAATTCTAGAGATTGCCTCGAGGAATAATGGCCAAATCCACCAGCAAAACAAACCTCAGAATATCGAAATCTGCAGAATTTCAAAATGCTTGAACATCGAAAACTTTGGAGTTTCGAAAACCTCATAATCTCGAAAACTTGCTGTTTGAAAAACATCAGAACATCGAAAACTCATGAAACATATATAAGCAGGGAATCATTTAGAGATCCTTATAATGTAAAGCTTCGATGAACTGCAAAGGATGTCAAGATTCGAATAATGAGTTCCAAGAAACTGCAAACTTTGAAAGATTCAAAACATCGAGAAATTTTGAAAATCTCGAAATCTTCAGAATGTCGAGATCCAAAACATCGAGATCCCAAATGTCGAAATCCCAAAACTCGAAATTCCTAAACTCGAAATTCCAAATCTCGAGATCACAAATCTCGAGATCTTGATTTCGAAATTCAAATCTCGAGATCTTGATCTCGAGATCACAAATCTCGAGATCTTGATTTCGAGATTCAAATCTCGAGATCTTGATTTCGAGATTCAAATCTCGAGATCATGATTTCGAGATTCAAATCTCGAGATCAAGATGTCGAGATGCAAATCTCGAGATCAAGATGTCGAGATGCAAATCTCGAAATCAAGATTTCGAGATGCAAATCTCGAGATCAAGATGTCGAGATGCAAATCTCGAAATCAAGATTTCGAGATGCAAATCTCGAGATCTCAAATGTCGAGAAGAAGAAATCGAGTCCCTAAATGTCGAGATCCTGCAAAACGAAAACATTGATTTTTGAAAATCTGAAACCTGTTCTGAATAGCCCTGAAATTCGAGATTCTCCTGTACCAGTTTCAAGCCAAAAGTGTTTCTGCAGCAGTGAAAAATAAAGATTTCGAGATCTCAATGTAGAGATCTTCGAAATATAAAAATTGCAGAAAACGAAAAAAGAGGTATGCTGTTGGATCGGTTTTTAAAGGCGAATCCAATAGTATGATTTTTACAAAATTTCGTTCACAAACGAGATTACAGGAGCAAATCTCTACATATAGAAAAACTGAAGAAAAAACAGAGCAGTTCTTCGTTAAATCCAAAAATCGCAGACAGATTCAACCTGTTTCACGCCTCGGCTCTGATACCAAATGTTAGTCCCAGAATTCTAACAATCATACAATCATAGCAGTGATAAAGAAGCAGATAGGAATAAATCGACAAGATTGAACGCGAATCTGATATACCGTATGAATCTGCCGCTACTCTCCCTGGAGAAGGAGAGCAGCGGCAACCTAATTTCTCTCTATCTCTACGCCTCTGCGTCTCAGCCTCTCACGATCGTTTAGGTTCCCGTAAGTTAGCCTCCTTTTATAGGAGAAGTTGGCTAACTTACGGGTTACAAGGAAGCCCACGGGCTGATACACATTTGTGGCCCGTATTACACGATTAATTAATAACTACACAAATACAAAGATAACTAACTAGATTGAACACCATAAAATATTCCCAACACAACTCTCCCATCATGCTCATTTCAAACTTGCTTTGCATGAGAGTTGAAAATTTCTCACATAATGTTTGATTTGAACTTCCCAAAATTATGTCATCAACATAGATTTGAACAAGCAGTATGTGGGGACCTTCTTCAATTTTGAATAAAGTTTTGTCTACTTTTCCTTTAGTGAATCCATTATTCACTAAATATTCAGATAGAGTGTCATACCATGCTCTTGGGGCTTGCTTGAGTCCATAAAGATCTTTGTGTAGTTTGTAGACTTGGTCCTTCTCTCTATTGATTTCAAAATCAGGAGGTTGCTTGATAAGTCCGATTTGTTCATATATTTTACCTCACTTTTTATAGCGTTTCTTGTTAAACTTGTGGCAAATTGTTACATTTTTCTGCGTTTTTGTTGCATTTTTGTTAATGTTTGAAATTAGTGTTGAAATTTACATTTTTGAGTGATTTGTGTTTAATTCAAGTGTTTGGATTGATTTTATGTTTTTTTCTTCTTATTTGTGAAATTTCAGCATTCTATTATATTTCAATAAGACATCTAATGGTACAATAAATAAATGAATTAATGAAAAACAAACAAAAAAATGATAAAACCCAAAAAAATGCAACAAGGCTGCGTTACAAAAAAAAACCCAAGCAAATAAAAGAAAACAAAAATAAAGAGAAGGAAGAAAAACAAAAAAAAACACAAAAGAGATAAGAGGGAGTAGTCGGCCAAAAAAAAAATATGAGAAGGGTGGGGAGTCCCATCTTTGGACCAAGGGAGAAGAGATGGCAAAGGGCAGCTGGTTGTCTAATTAATAGCCAAAGAAAAATTAGGAAGGCACTTCCTACTTGGCTACTTGTCGGCAGTAGGAAAGCAAAGAATTCAGCCGCACAAACCATTTACACTATCAGGCCGCAGGGCAAAGGCAGAATTCAGCGGCAAGTAGTTCTTGGCCAGAGAAAAAATAGGCAGGCATGGTATAGGCGAGCAGCAGGTCGAAGAAAGCTTAGCAGGAAGAAGAACATAACAACATCAACAATTCCGGTTTCATCTTTCCCTTTCAAACTTCAATAAGCTTTACGCTTTAATTCCTGTATTAATTCATACTTCGAATTTCTGCTTACTTGGATAATTGAGTTGTGAATGATGTTTATTTACTGTTTAATTTCATCTACAAATTACTCTAGCTGTTTTATTAATAGTGTTAGTTTCATGATAATTATGTTAGGCTAAATTTCCATGGGGTTTAGATTTGGATAGAATTTAGGTTAATGGGTGTTCTTAAATATTGAATTAAATTTAGGAACTTTCTCCAGTTTCTAGGACTAGTTGTTTGAGATGAAATTGAAAGAGTAATTTGTGAAATTGATCACTTCACTTGCGAATTTTTGGAAGATTAATTCTTTCTTGTCTATGAGTTTGGAATTAATTTAGCTCACATCTCATACACCCTAAACTAAGTCTAGAAATAGAACATGTTAGGGGAATTAAAATTAAATTCTTGTCTATGAGAATTAATGTCACTATTCTTAATTAGATTGGAGAAATTATCCCATTTTTATTCATAACCAATGACACTCAAGATCCTTAAATCCAAATCTAAACCCCACTTTTAATTAGTTAATTTGTGGTTACTAGTCACATTGAATTTATCTTTTAGTATTTTATTTTCGAAACATTCCTCTATTACATGTTTGCTACTTTAATATTTTAATTAGTTAAATTTCTCTCTCAATTTTTTTTGCATGTTCACTAGTTTTAGTTTACTCAATAATGTCATTTAAATAAATTCTCCGTTACCACTTTCGTTATATATTTATTTTTATTTCTTTAATCACTATCCCAATTAATTGTTTGACAAAGCTTGCAACAACTCGTACTAACCGGTGACCGATATTGAAACCAACACTTCCCTCCGCCACTCCTCAGAGACACGATACTCGGGGAAAAACCGAAAGGTTAGACTCCGTTTTACTACAACGCCGCGAAAGCGGTTATCAAATGGTGTCGTTGCCGGGGAGTGGCACGGTTGTAAGTTGGTTTTTATTATTGGCATAGGCGAACCCGAGTTACTGAGACTTTCTCCTTTTTTGTGTGGTTGCTTTCTCAAGTTTGCAGGAGCAGCATCTATTTTCTCCATCCTCTGTTTTGTGAGGGCTTGAACAAAAAAAATATCATCAGGATGAGAAAAAGGCAAACAATGCTTGAAGCCTTAACCGTGGACTTTTCTGAGGATGATAGCATCACCATTCCGCCAATCGATGCCACTGATTTTGAGATTAATCCATATATCATCCAAGTGATATCGATTAATCAATTTGGCAATTTGAAACATGAAGATCCGAGGGTGCATATGTTGTGGTTTAATAGAACGTGTCAAACTTTCCGGATCAGTGGAGTTCCAATTGACACTGTGAAGCTTATCTTATTCCCATTCTCTCTTCGGGATAAAGATGTTCGGTGGTTAAATTCTTTTCCACTTGGTTACTTCACCACCTGGAATGCTCTTCATCAGGCGTTTATGCATGAGTATTTTCCTCCATCGACGGTTGCAAAAATCAGAGCATCAATTAAAAATTTCCGACAGGCCCCGATGGAAACACTAAGTGAGGCTTGGGATCAATACAAAGTCTTACGGAGAAAGTGTGCTGCACAGTTGATGGATGCTTATGACTTGATGTTCTATTTCTACTATGGGCTTCAAGTTGTAAGTAAAAAAGAGTTGGACCATTATTCAAAGATGGGTTCGTTTCTCGACATGACACCGAAGGAGAGTGAAACGCTCATGGAGAATGTGATCTCAAGTGCTAAGAACTGGTACTATGAGACAGAATCTTCTTCCGAGACTACACTTCAAGGCACCGATCAAATTTCAGCCCTCACAACAATAATTGACAACCTGGCAACTCAAGTGAAGAATCTCAAATCACAATCAAGTCAGGTAAATAAGCTAAGTCATTTCATGGAAGTTCAGGAAAGTTTGGTGGATGCTAGTACCGAAGCACCCACAATTGATGAAGAATCCATAGACCAGGGGTGGATATCCACGGAAAAGCAAAACTTAACGGTGCTGCAAAATGAGATATTTGATGAAGATGAAGAGATCTTTGAACCAATTTCAGAAAATGTTGATGCGGAAGACATTTCATGCGAAAGTGATGTTGAAAATGGTGAACTTTTGAAACCATATCTTGCCGAATTTGATGAGGCATCTCACCCGGAGGAGGAATTTGAGATAATCGTGATTGCATCATGTGAAGAATTGAAGAAGAAAACTCCTGAGTTAATCAATGAAATTGAGGATCTCCTGAATCTACTTTTGGAGACTTTGGATGTGCAAGTTGACCAAGAAAATTCTGCACAGAATGAGAAAGAAACACGTGTGGAGGAGGTCCTTGACTTGCTCCTTGATGTACTTGATACTAGTACAAGGCTTAAAACTGTCCAGATTGAGGAGGAGGATCTGGAGAATGAGGATGACTTTCCTTATTTTATTTTACAACCTGAAAATGAGAAAGATGCACAAGCCTTTGTTCTTGCTTGTGAGGTTTTTGTGAAACAATGGTGGTACATCAAAAGAGTTCTGAGGGCCAAGCTGTATGATCCGAGAGTTGGAAGATCAAGAAAAAAGTGGATAAAAGTGTCAAGCTAATGACGTTAAAGAAGCGCTTCTGGGAGGCAACCCAAGTGTTAAAAAAGGAGGTTAAAAAAAACTCATAAAAAAGTAAAAAAAAAAGAAAACTAAAAAATGCAAAAAAAAAAAAGAAAAACTAAAAACAATAAAAAACTGCATAAAAACAGTAGCATAACAATTTTCTTTTGTTTTGTTTTTCCCTTTTGTTGTGTGTTTTGTTTTAATTCACCATTATATTTTGTTTTCTTTAGTTTTTTTTCAGGTTAATCACTGGAGTTCCCCGATCGAATTAAATTTTGATTTGTGCTTGTTCTTTCAAATCTTCTTCAATGTTGAGCACAAGGGGAGTACTTCTTACTTTTTTCTATCAATTTTCGCCCTCCATGTGTGTTTATTTGTGATTCATCTTAAGTGTGAGGAGGGTATGTTTGAAAAAAAATGTTTATTTTCCCTGTTTTATTTTGATTTTATTTGAGACCTCAAGGACGATGTCAGTTCTCCAAGTGTGAAGAGGGTTTAGAACAAAGCAAGGGATTGAACTCGTGTGCATGACAAGAGACTCAGGTGAACTAAGTTAAGATCAGTAATAAGTTAAGGTGTAATCTAGTTTAACTATTTTTTTTATGAAAGTTTTGTTATAACTAATCTTTTTATTACCATTATACTCCCTCAGTCCCAATTTGATTTGAAAATTTCCTATTTTGGTTGTCCCAAAAGTGTTTTCCACTTTCTATTTTAGATATGTAAATAAGAATAAAATGAGAAATTTACCCTTACTTTTACTTTTTTTCCATTAACTTAAAGACATCTACTTTTAGGAAGATGGGCAAAAGTGTAAAAAGAAAACATCATTTATTGTTCTGCCTTAATCCTTGTGCCAGTCAAAGTTTGCAATTCAATTCGGGACGGAGGAAGTACTTTTTTACAAAAAAAAATCTTTAAATATTAGTAGATATGCTTGATTTCTACTTTGAAGTTGTGTGCACAAGTTTGGGTTTTTGGTTTGAATGGTTGTTCGGTCTTACTTTCTTTTCATGGATATATATAATGCTCCTTGGTTAGCTTAAAATTTAAATTCTTTGGATTAGGGAGAATTCTATCCTCGAATGAGGCTCTGCTTTTAGCATTTGATAGAATATCTTTCGCTATTCTGGTTGTACTTGATTATTGATTTGAGAAGTGTCTTCGTTGGGAGTCTCATCTCCGAGAAGGGGCGCTTCTCTTCTCATTATCGTATTCTGCGAGAGTTGAGTATATTTTATATATTTTATGAGATAGCCCCACAAATCAATGATTCAGTTCGACCATGAAATTCATACCAACTTGGCTTGTTTATAGCTCCCCCAAGATCATCCAAAAAAAAGATCATTCTCAAAAAAAAAAATAGCTAGGGGAGCTAAAACTATTTTTAGAACTGGAGCTTTTGTGTATTTCATGACTAGTTAAGGATGATTGAGGGTTTCTGAATGTAAATGTTGACTTGTGCTCATAACTAATTAGTAGCAATTTTTGCATATATGCTAGTATTAAAGGATTTTTTTCATTAGTATGTTGTGTCATAAAAGTTGAGTTCTAACTGTGCTTTCATGGAAATATAGTTAGGTAGATTGGAATCTTAGTCTATGAATGATTGAATGTAAGTGATCTTGAGTCTTTGAGTTGTGCACCCCAAACAATTTGCCTTGAAAATATATTGGGGTCTTATTTGTTGCTTGAGGGCAAGCAACGCTTAAGTGTGAGGAGATTGATAAGTCCGATTTGTTCATATATTTTACCTCACTTTTTATAGCGTTTCTTGTTAAACTTGGGGCAAATTGTTACATTTTTATGCGTTTTTGTTGCATTTTTGTTAATGTTTGAAATTAGTGTTGAAATTTACATTTTTGAGTGATTTGTGTTTAATTCAAGTGTTTGGATTGATTTTATGTTTTTTTTCTTCTTATTTGTGAAATTTCAGCATTCTATTATATTTCAATAAGACATCTAATGGTACAATAAATAAATGAATTAATGAAAAACAAACAAAAAAATGATAAAACCCAAAAAAATGCAACAAGGCTGCGTTACAAAAAAAAACCCAAGCAAATAAAAGAAAACAAAAATAAAGAGAAGGAAGAAAAACAAAAAAATACAAAAGAGATAAGAGGGAGTAGTCGGCCAAAAAAAAATATGAGAAGGGTGGGGAGTCCCATCTTTGGACCAAGGGAGAAGAGATAGCAAAGGGCAGCTGGTTGTCTAATTAATAGCCAAAGAAAAATTAGGAAGGCACTTCCTACTTGGCTACTTGTCGGCAGTAGGAAAGCAAAGAATTCAGCCGCACAAACCATTTACACTCTCAGGCCGCAGGGCAAAGGCAGAATTCAGCGGCAAGTAGTTCTTGGCCAGAGAAAAAATAGGCAGGCATGGTATAGGCGAGCAGCAGGTCGAAGAAAGCTTAGCAGGAAGAAGAACATAACAACGGCAACAATTCCGGTTTCATCTTTCCCTTTCAAACTTCAATAAGCTTTAAGCTTTAATTCCTGTATTAATTCATACTTCGAATTTCTGTTTACTTGGATAATTGAGTTGTGAATGATGTTTATTTACTGTATAATTTCATCTACAAATTACTCTAGCTGTTTTATTAATAGTGTTAGTTTCATGATAATTATGTTAGGCTAAATTTCAATGGGGTTTAGATTTGGATAGAATTTAGGTTAATGTGTGTTCTTAAATATTGAATTAAATTTAGGAACTTTCTCCAGTTTTTAGGACTAGTTGTTTGAGATGAAATTGAAAGAGTAATTTGTGAAATTGATCACTTTACTTGCGAATTTTTGGAAGATTAATTCTTTCTTGTCTATGAGTTTGGAATTAATTTAGCTCACATCTCATACACCCTAAACTAAGTCTACAAATAGAACATGTTAGGGGAATTAAAATTAAATTCTTGTCTATGAGAATTAATGTCACTATTCTTAATTAGATTGGAGAAATTATCCCATTTTTATTCATAACCAATGACACTCAAGATCCTTAAATCCAAATCTAAACCCCACTTTTAATTAGTTAATTTTTGGTTACTAGTCACATTGAATTTACCTTTTAGTATTTTATTTTCGAAACATTCCTCTACTACATGTTTGCTAGTTTAATATTTTAATTAGTTAAATTTCTCTCTCAATTTATTTTGCATGTTCACTAGTTTTAGTTTACTCAATAATGTCATTTAAATAAATTCTCCGTTACCACTTTCGTTATATATTTATTTTTATTTCTTTAATCACTATCCCAATTAATTGTTTGACAAAGCTTGCAACAACTCGTACTAACCGGTGACCAATATTGAAACCAACACTTCCCTCCGCCACTCCTCAGAGACACGATACTCGAGGAAAAATCGAAAGGTTAGACTCCGTTTTACTACAACGCCGCGAAAGCGGTTATCAAATGGCGCCGTTGCCGGGGAGTGGCACGGTTGTAAGTTGGTTTTTATTATTGACATAGGCGAACCCGAGTTAGTGAGACTTTCTCCTTTTTTTTGTGTGTGGTTGCTTTCTCAAGTTTGCAGGAGCAGCATCTATTTTCTCCATCCTCTGTTTTTGTGAGGGCTTGAACAAAAAAAAATCATGAGGATGAGAAAAAGGCAAACAGTGCTTGAAGCCTTAACCGTGGACTTTTCTGAGGATGATAGCATCACCATTCCGCCAATCGATGCCACTGATTTTGAGATTAATCCATATATCATCCAAGTGATATCGATTAATCAATTTGGCAATTTGAAACATGAAGATCCAAGGGTGCATATGTTGTGGTTTAAAAGAACGTGTCAAACTTTCCGGATCAGTGGAGTTCCAATTGACACTGTGAAGCTTATCTTATTCCCATTCTCTTCGGGATAAAGCTGTTCGGTGGTTAAATTCTTTTCCACTTGGTTACTTCACCACCTGGAATGCTCTTCATCAGGCATTTATGCATGAGTATTTTCCTCCATCGACGGTTGCAAAAATCAGAGCATCAATTCAAAATTTCCGACATGCCCCGATGGAAACACTAAGTGAGGCTTGGGATCGTTACAAAGTCTTACGGAGAAAGTGTGCTGCACAGTTGATGGATGCTTATGACTTGATGTTCTATTTCTACTATGGGCTTCAAGTAGTAAGTAAAAAAGAGTTGGACCATTATTCAAAGATGGGTTCGTTTCTCGACATGACACCGAAGGAGAGTGAAACGCTCATGGAGAATGTGATCTCAAGTGCTAAGAACTGGTACTATGAGACAGAATCTTCTTCCGAGACTACACTTCAAGGCACCGATCAAATTTCAGCCCTCACATCAATAATTGACAACCTGGCAACTCAAGTGAAGAATCTCAAATCACAATCAAGTCAGGTAAATAAGCTAAGTCATTTCATGGAAGTTCAGGAAAGTTTGGTGGATGCTAGTACTGAAGCACCCACAATTGATGAAGAATCCATAGACCAGGGGTGGATATTCACGGAAAAGCAAAACTTAACGGTGCTGCAAAATGAGATATTTGATGAAGATGAAGAGATCTTTGAACCAATTTCAGAAAGTGTTGATGCGGAAGACATTTCATGCGAAATTGATGTTGAAAATGGTGAACTTTTGAAACCATATCTTGCCGAATTTGATGAGGCATCTCACCCAGAGGAGGAATTTGAGATAATCGTGATTGCATCATGTGAAGAATTGAAGAAGAAAACTCCTGAGTTAATCAATGAAATTGAGGATCTCCTGAATCTACTTTTGGAGACTTTGGATGTGCAAGTTGACCAAGAAAGTTCTGCACAGAATGAGAAAGAAACACGTGTGGAGGAGGTCCTTGACTTGCTCCTTGATGTACTTGATACTAGTACAAGGCACAAAACTGTCCAGATTGAGGAGGAGGATCTGGAGAATGAGGATGACTTTCCTTATTTTATTTTACAACCTGAAAATGAGAAAGATGCACAAGCCTTTGTTCTTGCTTGTGAGGTTTTTGTGAAACAATGGTGGTACATCAGAGGAGTTCTGAGGGCGAAGCTGTATGATCCGAGAGTTGGAAGATCAAGAAAAAGTGGATAAAAGCGTCAAGCTAATGACGTTAAAGAAGCGCTTCTGGGAGGCAACCCAAGTGTTAAAAAAGGAGGTTAAAAAAACTCAAAAAAAAAGTAAAAAAAAAAAAGAAAACTAAAAAATGCAACAAAAAAAAAACTAAAAACAATAAAAAACTGCATAAAAAACAGTAGCATAACAATTTTCTTTTGTTTTGTTTTTCCCTTTTGTTGTGTGTTTTTTTTTAATTCACCATTATATTTTGTTTTCTTTAGTTTTTTTTTCAGGTTAATCACTGGAGTTCCCCGATCGAATTAAATTTTGATTTGTGCTTGTTCTTTCAAATCTTCTTCAATGGTGAGCACAAGGGGAGTACTTCTTACTTTTTTCTATCAATTTTCGCCCTCCATGTGTGTTTATTTGTGATTCATCTTAAATGTGAGGAGGGTATGTTTGAAAAAAAATGTTTATTTGCCCTGTTTTATTTTGATTTTATTTGAGACCTCAAGGACGAGGTCAGTTCTCCAAGTGTGAAGAGGGTTTAGAACAAAGCAAGAGATTGAACTCGTGTGCATGACAAGAGGCTCAGGTGAACTAAGTTAAGATCAGTAATAAGTTAAGGTGTAATCTAGTTTAACTATTTTTTTTATGAAAGTTTTGTTATAACTAATCTTTTTATTACCATTATACTTTTTTTTAAAAAAAATCTTTAAATATTAGTAGATATGCTTGATTTCTACTTTGAAGTTGTGTGCACAAGTTTGGGTTTTTGGTTTGAATGGTTGTTCGGTCTTACTTTCTTTTCATGGATATATATAATGCTCCTTGGTTAGCTTAAAATTTAAATTCTTTGGATTAGGAGAATTCTATCCTCGAATGAGGCTCTGCTTTTAGCATTTGATAGAATATCTTTCGCTATTCTGGTTGTACTTGATTATTGATTTGAGAAGTGTCTTCATTGGGAGTCTCATCTCCGAGAAGGGGTGCTGCTCTTCTCATTATCGTATTCTACGAGAGTTGAGTATATTTTATATATTTTATGAGATAGCCCCACAAATCAATGATTCAGTCCGACCATGAAATTCATGCCAACTTGGCTTGTTTATAGCTCCCCCAAGATCATCCAAAAAAAAGATCATTCTCAAAAAAAAAATAGCTAGGGGAGCTAAAACTATTTTTAGAACTGGAGCTTTTGTGTATTTCATGACTAGTTAAGGATGATTGAGGGTTTCTGAATGTAAATGTTGACTTGTGCTCATAACTAATTAGTAGCAATTTTTGCATATATGCTAGTATTAAAGGATTTTTTTCATTAGTATGTTGTGTCATAAAAGTTGAGTTCTAACTGTGCTTTCATGGAAATATAGTTAGGTAGATTGGAATCTTAGTCTATGAATGGTTGAATGTAAGTGATCTTGAGTCTTTGAGTTGTGCACCCTAAACAATTTGCCTTGAAAATATGTTGGGGTCTTATTTGTTGCTTGAGGGCAAACAACGCTTAAGTGTGAGGAGATTGATAAGTCCGATTTGTTCATATATTTTACCTCACTTTTTATAGCGTTTCTTGTTAAACTTGGGGCAAATTGTTACATTTTTCTGCGTTTTTGTTGCATTTTTGATAATGTTTAAAATTAGTGTTGAAATTTACATTTTTGAGTGATTTGTGTTTAATTCAAGTGTTTGGATTGATTTTATGTTTTTTTTCTTCTTATTTGTGAAATTTCAGCATTCTATAATATTTCAATAAGACATCTAATGGTACAATAAATAAATGAATTAATGAAAAACAAACAAAAAAATGATAAAACCCAAAAAAATGCAGCAAGGCTGCGTTACAAAAATAAAACCCAAGCAAATAAAAGAAAACAAAAATAAAGAGAAGGAAGAAAAACAAAAAAAAAACACAAAAGAGATAAGAGGGAGTAGTCGGCCAAAAAAAAACATGAGAAGGGTGGGGAGTCCCATCTTTGGACCAAGGGAGAAGAGATGACAAAGGGCAGCTGGTTGTCTAATTAATAGCCAAAGAAAAATTAGGAAGGTACTTCCTACTTGGCTACTTGTCGGCAGTAGGAAAGCAAAGAATTCAGCCGCACAAACCATTTACACTCTCAGGCCGCAGAGCAAAGGCAGAATTCAGCGGCAAGTAGTTCTTGGCCAGAGAAAAAATAGGCAGGCATGGTATAGGCGAGCAGCAGGTCGAAGAAAGCTTAGCAGGAAGAAGAACATAACAACATCAACAATTCCGGTTTCATCTTTCCCTTTCACACTTCAATAAGATTTAAGCTTTAATTCCTGTATTAATTCATACTCCGAATTTCTGTTTACTTGGATAATTGAGTTGTGAATGATGTTTATTTACTGTTTAATTTCATCTACAAATTACTCTAGCTGTTTTATTAATAGTGTTAGTTTCATGATAATTATGTTAGGCTAAATTTCCATGGGGTTTAGATTTGGATAGAATTTAGGTTAATGGGTGTTCTTAAATATTGAATTAAATTTAGGAACTTTCTCCAGTTTCTAGGACTAGTTGTTTGAGATGAAATTGAAAGAGTAATTTGTGAAATTGATCACTTCACTTGCGAATTTTTGGAAGATTAATTCTTTCTTGTCTATGAGTTTGGAATTAATTTAGCTCACATCTCATACACCCTAAACTAAGTCTACAAATAGAACATGTTAGGGGAATTAAAATTAAATTCTTGTCTATGAGAATTAATGTCACTATTCTTAATTAGATTGGAGAAATTATCCCATTTTTATTCATAACCAATGACACTCAAGATCCTTAAATCCAAATCTAAACCCCACTTTTAATTAGTTAATTTTTGGTTACTAATCACATTGAATTTACCTTTTAGTATTTTATTTTCGTAACATTCCTCTACTACATGTTTGCTAGTTTAATATTTTAATTAGTTAAATTTGTCTCTCAATTTATTTTGCATGTTCACTAGTTTTAGTTTACTCAATAATGTCATTTAATTAAATTCTCCGTTACCACTTTCGTTATATATTTATTTTTATTTCTTTAATCACTATCCCAATTAATTGTTTGACAAAGCTTGCAACAACTCGTACTAACCGGTGACCGATATTGAAACCAACACTCCCCTCCGCCACTCCTCAGAGACACGATACTCGGGGAAAATCGAAAGGTTAGACTCCGTTTTACTACAACACCGCGAAATCGGTTATCATTGCTCCACATAGACCTCCTCTTCTAGTAGACCATTTAGGAAAGCACTTTTCACATCCATTTGATAGACTGTGAATTGCTTATGAGCAGCATAAGCCAAGAATATTCTTATTGCCTCCAATCTGGCAACAGGAGCAAATGTCTCATCAAAATCTATACCTTCTTCTTGGCAGTAGCCTTTGGCTACTAGCCTTGCCTTGTTTTTGATAATGGTGCCTTCCTCATCCATTTTTATTTTGAATACCCATTTAGTTCCTATCACATGTTGATGATAGGGTCTGGACACAAGCTCACATACATTGTTTCTCTCAAATTGGTTGAGTTCTTCTTGCATAGCCAGTATCCATTCAGAGTCAAGTAGGGCTTCTTCAATTTTCTTGGGTTCAATTTGGGAGATGAAGCATGAGAATAGTGCTTCTCTTTGAATTGCTGATCTGGTACGAACCCCTGTATTGATATTTCCAATGATTTGGTGAGGAGGGTGTTTGCTTAACCATCTAACATCAGATGTGGTTGTTTTGGATAGAATTTGTTGGTCATCCTCCTCTTCATCTTCACTATCCTCTGGTAGAATAGTATGTTTAGGAATATCATAAGTGCCCGGAAGGTTGTCTGTTGGTGAGTCACCTGTTGGCAGTGGTCCATCTTCGGAGGCAACTGCTGGCAGTGGATTGCCTTTTGAGGTAACTGCTGGCAGTGGTCTGCCTTTGGAGGCAACTGCTGGCAGTTGACTGTCATTTTCTTCTTCCAAGATCCTTTCTTCTGCTTGAATATCTTTGTGGGGAAGGCAGATTAGGGCCTTTTCAGTATCCTCCTTTGATTTGGATGACTCACCTTCATCTTTCATTTGAGCAGTGGGGTGGTTTTTAAAAACCACATGGACGGATTCTTCTACCACCAGAGTTCTTTTGTTGAGGATTCGGAAAGCCTTGCTAGTTGCTGAGTAGCCCAGGAAGATCCCCTCATCAGATTTGGGATCAAATGGATTGAGATAGTCCTTTCCATTATTTAGGATAAAACATTTGGACCCAAACACATGGAAATGACTAACATTTGGCTTCCTTTCTTTCCATAACTCATATGGTGTCTTTTTGTGAGTCTTATGAATAAGACTTCTATTCTGGGTGTAGCAAACAGTGTTGATTGCTTCAGCCCAAAATCTTTTGGGTAATCCAGTTGCTTCTAGGATTGTTCTTTCAGCTTCTTTGAGTGTTCTATTCCTTCTTTCAGCAACACCATTTTGTTGAGGTGTTCTTGCTGCTGAGGTTTGGTGATGGATTCCATTTTCTTCACAGTACTGAATTATGACTGAGTTGAGAAATTCAGTACCTCTATCTAACCGGATCTTCTGAATTGAGAGACTTTTCTCATTCTGGATTAGTTTCATCAATTCAGGGAGTTTCTTCTCTGTTTCATTCTTCTTCTTTAAGAATATGGTCCAAGTGTATCTAGAATAATCATCAACTACCACCAGGGTGTACCTTCTACCACTTAAACTTGTTGGTTCTACTGGTCCAAACAAGTCTAGGTGTAGTAGTTTTAAGGGTCTAGTTGATGATTGCATCTCTTTTGATTTGAATGATACCTTGGTTTGTTTTCTTTTTTGACAAGCATCACAGAGATAGTCCTTCTTTAAATTGATTTCCGGAAGTCCTTTCACCAAACCTTTTCTGGACAGTTTGTTGATTGTTTTGAAGTTGAGATGGCTTAATTTGTTGTGCCATTCCCAACTTAAATTTGAATCTGCCTTGGTCACCAAGCAGATCCCTTCCTTTGCTGAGTTCCAATCAACTACATACATGTCCTTCCTTCTTCTTCCAGAGAGCACAACTTTATCATTTTTGACATCTCTAATCAAGCAGATGTCTTTGGAGAATGTAACATTATAGCTATTGTCATAGAGTTGGCTTGTGCTTATGAGATTGAACTTTAATCCTTTAACATAAGATATGTTTTGGATTATGTCCATTGATTGATAGATCTCCAGCTCCTTTGGTTTCTCCTTGTTTTTCCAAATTCCCAAATGTCACTTTGGGGCATTCCCTTGCTGTATAGTTTGACACGAGCCGCCTGCTGCCTGTCATGTGTCTGGAGCAGCCTGAATCTATGTACCATGTTTGTGTTTCAGCTGTTCCAGCACCTTCCTGTATAGATTAATGTTGGGCAGTAGCCCACAAGTTAGTGGGCGACTTCCCTTGTACAAGTTTAGGCATCCATGCCCATCTAGAACCATTGAGTTCCAAGTAGATTGGTCTATAGCCATTTGGGGTGTTGTAATCAAAGGGAATGGCTATATATTTGTTAATCCTTTTCCTTTTTGAAGTAGGAATTGGATTATTAGTTTGAGGAGTCTGCTTGGCATTTTGGCTGTGATTGGTCTTATTGATTGGTTGCCAACGGGTTCTTGGGTTTAGATGGTTAGGGGGTGTTGATTTATACAGGAGTTTGGATTTTGGTTTGGGAGCAGGATGGTTCCTTCTTGTGGGAATGTTTGGGGAGTGGGTTTTTTTGTAGATTAGCTTTCTTGAGTTTGGTTGGTGGCTAGTAGATGGACAGTTTAAAGTGGGTCTTGTAGGAGATGAATAACCGAGACCTCTTCTTTTCCTATTTGGAATAACTTCAGCACTAGGATGAAAGTTTTTACTATTCGTGCTGGAGTTTTTCAGCTCTTTGTTCTCCTTTTCTAAGACATCATTTTTGCTTAAGGCATCAAGTAGTTTAGTGTGAATGGCCTTAATGTCTTGTTTCAATCTATTATTTTTAGCGTTTAAGAGAACATGGTGAGTTTGGACTTTCTGGAAATCTTGTAACAAAGATTCCAGAGTGATATTGTTTGGTCCAGAATCACTAGAGCTATAGGAAGAGCAGGATGTTACCTCAACATCATTGTATTCGTCTTTGGCTGTTTTCTTCAGCCACCTGCCAGGATCCCAGGCATAGAAGTGCTTCCTCTGAGCTTTCAGATGAAGAGCTTTCATCACTTGAGCTGCTTTCATCTTCAGATTGGGGTTCCTCCTTTCTCTTTTCACTTACAAAGGCTTGCCTCTTGCCTTTGAAGTCCTTTTTGTAACCAGCTTTGGGACCAGTCCCCTGCTACCCTTGATACTTCTTGGCTAAGGGCAAAAAGCATTCATTTTTGTAATGTCCTGGTTGTCTACAGTTGTAGCACAGGACAGTTTCCTCGCTGGTTTGAGGTCTCCCTTGTTTCCTGGGTGGTAGATCCAAAATTTCTGAATTATCTGACAAATCCTCTCAAGGCTCAAAATCTCCTGAAACTTCCTTTTCTGAAACTCATAAAAAGAAAAATTGTTTTGAAAAGAAAAGGAACTTATCTTCTGCTCCACATACAGGAAAAGTTTTCTCAAAATCCAATGCAGGAAGGATGACCTGGGTTCCGAAGAAGAAGTCAAGCGAGGATACAAGACCTGAGCACTCGAAGAAGATTTCTAAAATCTTTAATTTTGTTGAAAAGTCTTGTAATAGATTTAGAAATTGTTTTCGTTTTCATTCTCCATCTAGTTCCATTAGTTCTTGATGGTCCCGGATAGGGTAAAAGTCTAGAGGGGGGTGAATAGACTTTTAAATCTTTTTCGATTTTACAAAGTTTTCCCTTTATAAGAGTTGATCTATAATCTTTTGAGAGATTAATAGATGCACAACGGAAGTCTTTACCCTGAGTGTTTAATCACTTTCTGACTTGGAGAAGTTTGGACTTAAATAGCTAGCAGTTGGCTTGGCAGTTGGCTTAGCAGTGGGCTAGGTAGCAGGGAACTGTTGAGACAACTGCTAGATAGATATGGACTATAGGATCCGAATAATTGTTCTCCTAAGTGTTTACAACAATTCTTGAAATATTACACGAAAGTTCTAACCTCCAACTAGGAACTAAACTTCTAAGATTTAGGAATGGGTAGCTTATGAACTGAAAGTTTAGTGAAGCATGAGTCCAAGCAGAGACTAAAGTTTAGAACAACACTTTCTCTTTTGCTAGATAGCTCGTGAATGCTCGAAGGATATTTCTCTACTTAGGATGCTCAAAGCTTGATTAGAAACTCTCGTTTCAGTCTCTATTTATAGGCTTTTTGGCTGATCAATCTTATCCGTTGGTTAGGATAGATTGATCTCTTCCGTTGAATAACCGGCAGGAACGAAGTGTACATTTGGCTTCTTGTGCTGGGGCTTTTAATGTGGCTGATTTCTTTGTCTTGAATCATTGAGCCGCTGAGGTATCTTTTCGGAAAAATAGTCCCATGAGCGTATGAGTGTAGGCCCTTGTACTTGATCCAACATTCAATACTAGTCAAATATTGTCTCTCAATTATATAAACTCATTGTAAAAAAATGTGACATCTAAATAATTTTTGAGTTAAATAGTATTTGCTGGTAGGATTCAAATATCCTATTTAAGGTAAATAAAATTTACCTTATTACATTTTTATCTTTCCGATAATATTTCTTTAGTCTCAAAAATTGTGCATTAATTTTTGTCACATAATGCTAATAAAATTCAAACTAAATATACGCGTGCTAAGTATAGTGACATCATCAAAATCTTATCAAAATTGGGTACTAACAGTTCTGTTACTTTTAGATCTCCTAAGCTTTCTTCATCTTCTCACTCTCACTATGTGGATTCTATTTTAAGTGACTATTTTGAGCATGATCAATTGAATTCTTCTCCTTTTTCAAAACATGATGTGTGTGATGTGAATGCAAATGATGATAGTGTTGCTTTCTCTTCATATAATGGTGTATGTCTGAATTATCCTCTCAAGGTATATTCTGTCAAACATCTTAAAAGATTAGAAAGAGAGAAAGTCTTCATAAATTCTAAAACATCACACTCACAATTTCAGAACTATCCAAACAAATTTCATAAAATCAAGCAAGTCTGGGTTCCTAAAAGTGATCAAATTAAAACTGATTCAATTCTTTCTTCACATAAAAAGGATGGACCCGTCCTTAAATGGGTACCTAAGGTTACTTAATTTTGCAGGTCAGTCATGTGTGGTACTTAGCTTTAGGTTGCTCCACACACATGACTGGAAAGAAAGAGCTGTTGAGCAACTACGTTGACAAGTTTGGAGGAAAAGTGAGATTCGGAAACAGTGACTCTGCTCCAATTCTTGGGTTTGGAGATATTTGCAACAGCAGGGTCACTATCAAAAACGTTTCTTATGTTGCTGGGTTGACACACAACTTGTTTAGCATCGGTCAATTTTGTGACAAGGGCATGAAAGTCATTTTCCAAGCTAACAAGTGTTGTGTGAAGGATGAACAAGGAGACACCATTCTGAGATGTAAACGCAAATCTGGTCTATACACCATTGTGCTAAAAACCCTATTCCCTGGAACCAATGTTTGCCTGCTGTCAAGAGCGTCCTCTGAGCTTAATCAACTGTGGCATAAGAGGATGTCTCATCTGAACTACCGGGATCTACATACATTATTATCAAAGAAGCTCGTTACTGGACTGCCAGCACTACAAAGCAAAAGTGATCATTTGTGCGATTCTTGCGCACTTGGAAAAATGAAAAGAGCTTCTCATAAGGCTAAAATGACAACATCTACTACACATCCTCTTGAACTACTTCACATGGATCTTTGTGGGCCCATGTGTACACAAAGTATCAATGAAAAGAAATATGTACTGGTGATAGTAGATGACTACTCAAGAAACACTTGGATCCGGTTTTTACGCTCTAAAGACGAGACAACAGACATCATCATCACATTTATTCGTACTACTCAAAATCATCTCCAGGCAACCATCCTCTTCATTCGATCTGACAATGGTACTGAGTTCAAGAATCAAAAACTCAGTGAATTCTATGGGACACTTGGAACCATTCAGCCATTCTCTGCAGCAAAGACCCCACAACAAAACGGGGTGGTTGAAAGAAAGAACAGAACTCTTGTTGAAGCTGCAAGAACCATGCTGATCCATTCCAATCTTCCACATTTTCTCTGGGCGGAAGCTATCAACACTGCTTGCTTTACTCAGAACAGGACGTCAATTCACAAAAGGTTTGGAAAACCACAATATGAGCTGATCAACCGTCGAACTCCCAATGTCTCTTTTCTAAGAGTTTTTGGATGCAAGTGCTTTGAAGCTAACGATAGGGAAGATCGTAGCAAGTTTGATCTGAAAGCTTTTGAAAGCGTGTTTATTGGCTACTCCTCTTCATCCAAAGCTTACCGAGTGTTAATCAGAGACAAAAAGAAGGTCATCGAGAGCATCAATGTGACCTTTGACGAGAAGGAAGAACATGCTTCTGGACACATCAGTTCAGAACCCGATATCACTGGTGTTCTAGCACAACTACCCGCCTCATCTCCCTCACCTGATTCCAACACCGTGGATCTCGATCATCTGTTTGACCAAATATACGAGAATCCACAACCACATGATCCATCTCCTTCATCTGTTACTGCAACCTCAGCCGCAACTTCTACTCCTACATCGACTCAATCATCTTCTACAACCACTGCTGAGACTGAAACCACCACTGGAACTACAACACCCGATCCTACATCTTCATCTGTTTCTCATGCTGATAATCCTTATGTTGATCAGCAACCCAACAATAATGCTCAGCCACTCCCTCATGTTAGAAAATGGACACGTGCTCATCCACCTGATCTCATACTTGGAAATCCTTCAAGTGGAGTGTGCACACGATCTGCTACCGAGAATGAATGTCTGTTTTCCTTTTTTCTAAGTCAAACTGAGCCTACTCATGTCACCGAAGCGTTAGCTGATCCTGATTGGATAATCGCCATGCAAGAAGAAATCAATCAGTTTGAGAGACTGAAAGTCTGGTCACTTGTGCCTCGGCCCCCTGGAAAATCAATAATAGGCACTAAGTGGATCTTCAAGAACAAGAAGGATGAAGACGGGATCGTGATTCGCAACAAGGCCCGATTAGTTGCAAAAGGATACAATCAACAAGAAGGCATCGATTACAATGAGACGTTCGCTCCAGTTGCACGCATAGAAGCCATTCGACTGTTCATGGCTTATGCTTCACACAAAAACTTCACCATCTATCAAATGGACATCAAAACAGCATTCTTGAACGGGATCTTGAAAGAAGAAGTTTATGTGGATCAACCAGAAGGGTTCATCAGTGAGAAATATCCAGATCATGTTTATCGTCTGGATAAAGCTTTGTATCGACTCAAACAAGCCCCAAGAGTTTGGTATGAGATATTATCTGATTTCCTGGTTGATTCTGGTTTTTCAAAAGGAACAATTGACACCACTCTTTTCATTAAGCGTCATGGGTCTGACATCAGCCTGGTTCAGATCTACGTTGACGACATCAGTTTTGGTTCCACTGATCCGGCACTATGCACTGCATTTGGAAGTCTGATGCAATCAAAGTTCGAAATGAGCATGATGGGCGAAATGAATTTCTTTCTTGGACTACAAGTTAAACAATTGCCTGACGGTATCTTCATCCACCAGTCCAAGTACATTCATGATTTGCTGAAAAGATATGGTCTAGAGAACAGCACCCCTGTGAAAACCCCGATGACTCATGCCTGTAAGCTTGATACTGACCCATCGGGAAAGCCTGTTGATGTTACTGCCTATAGGGGAATGATTGGTTCTTTGCTGTATTTGACCTCGAGCCGACCTGATATTATGTTTGGTACTTGTCTTTGTGCTCGCTTTCAAGCAAATCCTAAGGAATCCCATTTGCTTGCTATGAAAAGAATTCTTCATTATCTGAAAGGAACTCCTAATCTAGGACTCTAGTATCCTAAGGAGACTACATTTGATCTGATTGCAATCACTGACGCAGATTTCGCTGGATGTAAAATGGATAGAAAGAGTACTTCTGGTAGTGCTCAATTTCATGGAGAAAAGCTGGTCTGTTGGTCCTCAAAGAAGCAAAATTGCGTGTCTACATCTACAGTAGAGGGTGAATATGTTGCTGCTGCTAGCTGTTGTTCACAAGTTCTATGGATGAGGACTCAACTGTGTGACTTTGGATTTTATTTTAACCACATTCCGATTTACAGCGACTCAAATAGTGCGATTGCTATCTCATGCAACCATGTTCATCATTCTCGCACTAAGCACATTGACCTAAGATTCCACTTCATCAAAGATCATATTGAAAAAGATCATGTGGATCTATACTTTGTGTGCACTAAGCTTCAATTGGCTGATTTGTTTACAAAAGCTCTGGACGAGAAAAGATTTCAGTTCCTGGTCTCTAAACTGGGAATGCTGGATTTGGAAATTTAAATACCGTGCACAAGTTTAGGGGGAGTTTTTATTTTTTGTGTCATGTCAATTTTAATTTTTATTAAGTCAGTTTCTTGGTCTGTCAGTCTGTTTCCCTAAAATGTGCAAGCATTGAGGGGGAGCAAAATTAGTTTGGTCTGAGTGCTACAGTTGAGGGGGAGTAATTTTATTTTTAGTATCCGCAATTTTTTCATAAATTAGAAAATCACAAAAATATTTTTCTTTTTTATTTGAGTCAGTTTTTGATTTTTAGTCTGTCAAATTGAGTCAGTTTCCAAAAATCAGAAAAAGCCAAAAAGATTTTACTTTTCCTTTTCCGCGGGTACTTAAGTCTAGAATCGGTAGAAACCATCTTCTTCTTCATTCTCTCTCTCACAATTTCGGCCTATAGCACTCAAGAGTTCCTCCTTCAAAGTTGCATCATCTCCAGTCGTCTTCTCAAAACTCTCAAGGTTATTCCTTCTTAATAGTTTGCATGTTGGTATTCTTTTTGTTTTGCAGGTTTTAATCGAAGGACGACGACGAGGAAACCGGTCCCAACCTCCGGAACCCATCCTCGCCGCCGTCAACCATCGCCGTCACCCATCGCCGACAACCATTGCCCATCAAGCTATTTCATCTTCCCCTGTTTCTCAAACTCCATAGCCAAAAAGCTTTCATAATCTCGCACCCTTCGAATTCTAAGATTTTGAGTCCTTCGAAATTCTAGATCAGAAATCTCAAATCTCGAAACACGGAACCAGTCGAAATCCCTTCCCAAGAAATCCCTTCGAGATTCGCCTATCCGAAATCTAACCTAACAGGGCTCCGAAATCCTTAAGCCCAAAACCCGAATTCCTCATTCTCGAAATCTTTAGCCTTGCAGAAGCCCGAAATCTTATCTACCGATATCCCTTTCGAAATCACTAAAAACCGGGCCTCCGAAATCCCATCCTAGATTCCCTTTCCGAAATTCCACTTAGACCCCTCCGGAATCTTACCCCCGAAATCATATTCCCGAAATCATATTCTCTTACGCCTATCCGAAATACCAAGCCCCCGAGATCTTCTCCCGAAATCCCTTTCACCCGAAATCCATAAAGCCCATTTTACATTACCCTTAACCAATCATCCAAGCCCAAAACCCATTCTTTTACTAATCTCTGTTTAATTGTGCAGCTCAGGAAATGGCTTTGTTATCTGAGGAGGAAGTTTATCGAAAGGATAGTTGGATTGAGATCAAGGACAACAATTTTCTAATAGACCCCACTACTTTCAAATGTCAAGACAAGGTGGTGGTCTCCATTCTCAAAGGGCACCCACTGTGGCAAGCGCACATCATATCTGCCAAAGTGCCCAAGATCTACTTGCGACAATTCTGGGGCACCTTCACCTCTACAGAAAACACTCCAATCCCCACTTTTCAAGCCCAAATAGCCAACACCACCGTCCATATCACCCATGATACCATCCGTACCCTCCTACATCTACCCATAACCACATCATACGATCCATTCCCTGCTGATAAAGACCTACTCAACGACATTCTGAAGGTTGGCCACCCATCTCCTTTGACCCAATTCTCTGAATTCTACGGCAACCTTCTACCCCGACCATGGAGAACTCTTTTCTACATCCTCAATCAATGCCTCTCTCCGAAACAATCTGGTCATGATCGCTGCAACGTTCACTTTCTCAAGCTGGTCCACGGAGTGATATTTTCAAAGAATTATGATTGGGCGCAGCTGATCTGGATGGAACTCCTCGAACAACTCAAAATAAGGAGATCCAACAGCAAAACCAAGTACATCCCTTATGTACGTTGGTTCTCAATTTTCATCGATCATTTCATGAAGGAGAACTCCACCATTCCACAAAGACCAGAAGCAGAGTTGCTTGAACTTCCGATGATGAAGTATCTAAAGAACACTGAGGATAAAGTTCAAACGCAACCAATGACCATTCCTGATGCTCTACTCAACCTTGTTGCTCCAAATGATCCACACATTGCTGAATACAAGGTTAGTATCTCTTCTATCCCTACGACGCAGTCAAACCCCACTGTGTCTACCCAAGGGACTTCAAAGCCGAGTGGAAGTAAGGGTCCGAGAGTGACTAAACTAAAGAAGAGGGCATGTGAGACTCAGTCCGAGAGAGCTGATGTCTCCTCCTCTAATGCTTTAAATGTTGTTACATCAATCCCAGTCACTGAAATACACCGAACTCAGCCCATAGGTACAGGTTCTGACATTGTCAGTTCCCGAGTAGAAGTCGCTACATCGAGTTCAATAGTGCAAAATGAGCCAAGCCAAAACTACTCGACTGTCTCCCAACAGATGGTCGTTTCAACCCAAATAGGGGAACCCTACAGTGAACCGCCCCACACTGCTACCCAATGCACGACAGGTCATGTGTCCACATTCCCAGATTTTTTATCATTTTCTAGGACACTACCTTATACATCTGCACACACTGATACAGGCTCATTACCACCTGTCATAACCACCAGAGGTACGCCAATGATGGTTGGAAGTGCTGCCACACTCTACTCCCCAGCAGGCCATGGCACCGCTATTTTTAGTGATGCTGTGAGAACTGATACTACTTTTAGGTCAGGATTCGCCCCATTCTCTAGTTATTCAAATTTTAGGGAGGATCTACGGTCTGAACTTCAAGCGTTCAAGAAATCACTTCTTCAAGAACTGCGTCCTGTAGTCCCAACAGGCGTAGCAGGCCAAAGATCACACCCAACTCCCTTCATAAGAAATCTTCCATCCACCATTACACCCACAACCATTATATTTACATCCACTCCATCTACCTCTCACCCTGACCCAATTCACATGAACATCTTTGATATATCCGAGTTTTATCTCCACAAACTCTTATGTGAACCAAACCTCCCTCCACATCTCAAACAAGTCCGTGATATCCTATCCCTCACCCCACCTTACATCCCATCCACCTCTTGCCGTGATCAAGATCACTTGCCTAAGCGTAAGCATGATGACACTGATGATTCGGATCATCATGAGGGGGAGAAAGGGCAACGTACTTGTGAGCAAACCACCTCCACCTCTATCATTCCTTTTACCATTTGCTCTGAACAATTAACATCTTCTCAGCCAGAACCTTCATCCTCGACCGCACCCAATGACTCACTAACCTTAACCGTTTATCACCCTTCCGAGCCCATTATTACTGACCCAGGACTTTGTGTCCTCTCGAGAACTTCTATAGTCTCATCCTACATGGATGATGACCAAGGATGAGAAGGAAGTCCTAACAATGCACCATCGATATCACCATTGTCTTCAGGCCATCAGAATGAGCTAGTCTCTAGTATGATGAAAACAGTAAGTCTGAGTGACTCCGGTGTTACATTTCCCACATCTGTCCCTCCGGTTTCCATAGCACAAGTTCCTCAGATTGAAAAGCCTAGAGCTACTCGAGCTATTCCCACTCCAACAAGTTCCCAAACTGATCGACCATCATCATCCAGAAAGAAAGCTTCAAAGACAAAAGAAAGTGAGTTCAAAGAAAAAGCTGTTGATCTGATATTGCTAGAATGGATCGAAGACAACGAGAAAGATGAACTTTAGAAGCTGAACAACACAGATTCTCTTGATAGGTTGAACTTCATTCGAGAAATCAAGAAAACAGTTGTTGAAATATTAATGGAACTTGATGATGAAGAATATGCTCAAGGAGAATACTATGATGATCCTCTCACTGATTTTCATATAGTCAAAGATCTAATCAAGAGACGCCCTGGTGATTCAAATATTGAAAACTGGTTTGGAACACCTAGGGAAAACGTCAAGATCATCGTGCCATATCAAGAAGATCTGCGACCAAGAATCTGGAGAAGTGAGAAAGCTATCAAAACGATTGACGAGCTTAAGTTGAGGGGACTTGAGCACTTGAAAGGAACAGATGCCTCCGGTCACCTTTGGATGCAAAGGAATATGTCTGCTGATCAGAATGATCCATACGGTCACAGAAAGAGATTGGTTAAGCATACTGATTCGCCGATCATTGCTATAAAAGCCGTAGAGATTCAGCATATTGCAAAAGAAACTTTCTATCCAATCTATGAGTTTGAAAGGAAAATGGACATGATTCAAAGAGCATCAGAAGCGGATCTGTACTACATCACTGAAGAAGATCTTATTCAGTTATTCTACTACTACAGATTTGTCAAGTTCACATCTCAAAAAGACAAAGATCTAGGGCTGAATGCACTCAAGAGATTCATGATGCGACAAGTCAAATATTACAGTCTTTTTTATCTACAAATGGCCATTGAGAGCAGTCAAACAAAGGTGAACATGACTGGTCCGAGAAATAGAGCTGATTGGATCGAGAATCTTGAAGAAGGCACCATCGTAACAGAACCAGAGATAGGCCTGATCTACAAAGATTACAAAGGCATAAAGTGAGGTCTACTCATGAGCGAAATTCACAAATACTGCGATGGTACACTCAGAATAATTGAAGACCATCTGGAAGAAGCTGCACAGAAGCTACTCAATTCAGAAGATCCAGATAACCCGACTCAAATTGCACTCATTACAGATTTTTAAAAAGCCATAGAACTTAGACTTCAATTCAGAAGAGATCTCAGACATTATGAAGTCATTCTTGGCTATCGGAAGTCATTGTACAAGACTCAGAGATAAAAGGCGCTTCATCGACATTTGAACACAAAGGGGGAGAATGTTAGAATATTATTTTATTGTGTTCAACTTAATTAATGAGTCTTTGTATTTAATTAGATTAGCTGAGAGAGAAATAGGCCAATTTAATCTAGCTCTAATAAGCCCACACGCCTAAGTTGTATGTTTCCTGAATAGATTAGGCAGTTCGGATATCCCTCCTATAAATACAGGTAGGGATGGCCGAATCTGCTCTCTAAGTCTCTACAAGTTCTATTCCGCATATTATTCTCTGTAGAGCCAGTAGATTAGAATTTCTCTCTCTAGCTTGTTTGTTCGAGTACTGTGTAATTGTTCTTCATGGATTCCTCATTCTATATACACGGTATACGTTATTGGTGAGATTTCTCTTCTACTGTTTTAAATTCTTCCAATTAATATTAGATTATTCGACTGATGAAATTTGGGCATACTTCACACACAAAGGTTGACACTTTTCTCTTCATTTTGGGGGGGTGCCTCGTTAAAAACCTCATTAGAAAAAACCCTGTGGGAAAAAATTCTAATGAGGGAAAAAGAGTGCACCGAATTCCCCCAATGATGAATCAAAAAGGTGAAGCCTTGGTCTGAAATGGATGACAGTGTTGTTGCCGAAGGCTATCCTGGTCTGAGGGCACGTGTGTTGATTCGCCGAAGGTGCTTTGTTGATATCCAGGGAGATGTGGAAGGGGAGTCCCTCAGTCTATGGGATTGAGGGCATGGTGAATGTAGGCGATGGTTCCTGTGTGCCGAGGAGGGTTCCCTAGCTCTTGATAAGTTGGAGGATGAGGGCTCCCGAGGGGTCCCGTAATTGTATCGAGGGGCCCAACTGTTGATGAAGGTGTGACCCCCGGAGGGTTCCCTGGTTCTCAACATGTTGAGGACTATGGGTTCCTGAGGGGTTCACCCGTTGTGTAGCCGAGTGCTCCCCTTGATGAGGGAGCCTGAAGGAGCAAGCTCGAAGGCGTGCATAATGTTGTCTGAGAGGTGCCAGCTGGAATATGACCGTTGGGGATCGCTGTCCACGTGGCGTGTAGTTGTTGGCTACTGCGGGCGGGCGTCACCGGTTAGCCCAACCGACGGTTTGTAATGATGATTATGGGAGCTGGGGGCAGGATTTTGGCCCAAGCCCGGATTTTGGGGGCCTATAAATACCCAAGGCCAACGCCATTTCCTCTTGTGCGTTTTTAACTGTTAGCGAAGCTCTGGCGAATTTTTTCTAGAGAGAGAGACTTCCCCTCGGTCAAATCTCCAGCTCACAAGGTCAGTTCTTGATCAATTCTCTGTTGCCTTCAGTACACTTTGCTTGTTTGGTGGGTTCATCTTTCGTAGCCTTAAGCTAAGCGATAGAGTTCCTTAGGTAGCCTTTTGTTGTAGAACCCCTCGTCTTTAAGTCTCAAAAAATGTCTTCGCAAAGCGATTCCCAAAATATTTCGAGGGAGCCCTCGATTGAGGAGGAGAACATCTCGGATGTTGAATCTGCCAGTGGGCAGCCCTCGGAGAATGGCGACTCCGCTTTTGCTGTGGAGGTCTAGAAGGAGTTGGTGGCGGAAGCGGAAGCCGAATAATTCAAACAAGTGTGCGAGGACGAAGAGATGACCCTCACCTTCCAAGTTGTCGTAGATGAGGAGGAGAAGGAGATCATGAAGGTCACCATTGCTGTTCCTCCCCCCGGAATGATGATGAAACCGGGAGCTCTAGGCCCCTCAACCTGATGCCTCTCAGGGTGGCCCCCGGGAAGAACAATAAGAAGAAGGTGGGAGTCTCCAAGAAGAAGGGGAGAGTCGTAGATGCAGGGAAGCCAGTCGACCTACCGGAGGGGTACTCCTATTTGAACACTGATGCGCTTGAGTTGAGGTCGAAGGCCGACAGGGCAGAGTGCTACGTTACCCAACTGCATGTTGGGCCCTCGTCTATTGTGGTGCTACCCGGACCTGACGACGTTCTCTCCCGGGCTCCCGAGGGATGTATTGATGTTCACATCCTCTCGGTGTCGATGGGCCTTCGGTTCCCACTGCATCCTTTCCTTCGGGAATACATCAGATACGTCGGCCTTGTCCCCTGCCAACTTACACCCAATAATCACTCGTACATAGCCGGCTTCTTGCATCTGTGTCGGTCCCAGGGAGTGGCCCCCAGTTTGGATCTATTCTTCTAGAGTTTCAATCTCTGTCAGGGAGGCCACGCGAATGCCGAGGGCTTCGCGAACCTGCAGCAGATAGCCCAGTGGAAGCTGTTCACCGAGGCGCCCTCCTCAAATAAAGGCTGGAAGGAGCGGTGGTGCTATGTCAGACTAGATGAGAGCCCCTTCCCGAGAGAGTTGCGGGACCGTTTTAGGCGCCATAAGAAGATTAGAAGCGCCGCCCTCGAGAAAGATGGCTTTAAGCTTGCCAAGATCCCGAGGGGGCGCAATAAGAACGTGACGATCAAGGAGTGCACCCTCGAGAAGGATCTGCGTCTTCTCGGATTCCAGCGATACCGTTTCCTGGGGGAGACAGACAAGACGTACCCCATCTTTGATGGAGCCCTCGAGGGAACAGGAGGTAGTTACTTTGATTTCTGATCGTGCTTTCTACCCTTCAGTCTAACTCTTTCTTGTTGTTTTGCAGGTGCTAATATGGACGCAAACACCCTCTTTGCTATGAAGAAGAAGAAGGGCAAGGCCCAAGCCAAAAAGAAGGATCCCTCGGGCCAGCAGCCCGTATATGTGTTCTTTCAGAAGGAGGTGGTGGAGCCCTCTGCCGATGGTTCCACCGTTGATGGGTCAGGGGTTCACAGGCCGATGTGGCCACAAAGAAGAAGAGGGGTGGAAAGGGGGTTGAGCCCCCTGTCAAGAAGCAGAAAGTTGTCGTGGATGTTGCTGAGAAGGCGGCCCGTGTCAATGTAAGTTCGGTGAATGATGGTGTTATTTATTTCGCTTTGGATCACCAAAGCATCCCTGTGAGGAGAGGAATCCGGGGGAGATCAGCGTTGGTGAATGTGATGGGCTCCTCCCTCAGCCGCTTTACGGGGGACATGTGAGTGACTTCCCCCACGTACAGTGATTGAGCCCACTTCTTCCTTTGGCTGGGTGAGTCACCCCCTGTGTTGCCGCCGGTGATCATGAGGATGTGGCGCTTCTTCTCTTGGTAATGGGGGTACTCCTCCTCCCCCTCTTCCAGATTCCCGATCTCCCTCTTCTTACCGAGGGGGATGGTGTTCGGATTGACCCAAGCGTTTGCTTTCCTCGGAGGACCCTGGTGGGGAGGGGCCTGTTACTGATGGCCTTGTACAAATTGGGACAGATGGCCCGCCTGAATCAATCTCTCAGTGGCCGACTTCAGCTGGTGGCAATCATTGATTTTGTGCCCCTGGTGTCGATGAAAGCAACAGTAGGGGTAATTGGGGTTGATGGCATAGACATCTGGGGGTGCGCGAGAGTCTCTCTCCATGAGCCCCTTCTCCTCGGCGAAGTCGAGGATGACGCTGACGGGGTGCGTCAAGGGTGTACGAGGGTGTTCTAGGAGGACAGGTTGCGCCCAAGTCTTTGGGTTATTCTTGTAATCTCCCCCGGGCTTGGCTTGACCGTGCCGGGGACGATCGCCGGGAGGTGCCGGGCCTTTGGATTGATGTGAGGGAGCCCCCGGTTGTTCTTATCGTCAGCCTTCGGGCGTTGCTGTTCGGGGTTTTGGTGGCATTTCTCGACCTCCTCGGCCTCCGTATACCGGTCCCTCCGCTGTAGGGCCCTTATGTAATCGCGAGGAGGTTCAATGATGAGGCTCCTCGAGAAGTTTATGGTGTGGAGGACGGTTTGTAGGAGGGCCAGGAGGGTCCCATCGTCGGTGCCTTCGGGTAATCGGTTGAACCATTCATACGCCGGTCCCTCTAAGGTGGAGAGGAACCAATGGCACAAATATTCATCTGACGCCCCCACCATCATCATGCTATTTTGGTACCTGCTATAATGCTCCTGGGGGTCGGTCTTTCCTTCATAGGGCCTTATGGGTTGCCTTCGGTACTTTTCCGGGATCTGGGCCGCCAATACCCTTGGGGTAAATGGCGTTATAGTCCGGAGTTGGATGATGGGTTCCCCGAAGCCTTCGACAATTCTCTTCTGCATCTCCTCCATTTTGGCCAGCATGGCCTCATATTTTGGATCTGCATGAGGGGCGGAAACGGTGACGTGTGCTTTGGAGGCCTCTATTTCGTCAAGCCGGCGTTGGAGGGCCGCGATGAGTTCGTCCCTGGGATCCTTCGGGAGGGCCTCCGCCCCCTGCGAACAGACGCGGGCCGAGTGGGCCTGGTTGATTTGGTGACGGGCATTGTCGGCATGGAGTGGTGTCTTGCCTTTGTCCTGAGGGGGACGTCTTTCGTCTGCCCGAGAGACGGATCCGCCACTTTCCTGAGGTCTTTGGAGCGCCTTTCCCCCTCGGCGGTCTTGCGCCCCTCCAAGCCTCTCGAGGGCGGAGGTCAAGGGCCTTTCCTTGTTTGCGCCGTGGCGGTCCCGGGACTGGACCTCCTGAGAGGCGGTATCTTGGGGCACGACCCCTTCGTTGTTCCCAATCCGAAGGATAGGATTTTCGAGGGGGTGTGGAGGAGGGGGAAGCATGGCGTTCTCCCCGACCTGAGGTTGAAGCGGAACCAGAGTGCCTAAGGCACCCGGATTCTGAGTGAGAGTTTGGATGAACGCGGAGAACGCCGACTGTACGTCGATGGTGAGGACCGGAGGGCTGACTTTGTTTTCGCTCCGCTCCTTCTTTTTGGCCTCGATTTCCTAACAGTAGTATCAGAGCTAAACTGATTCTAATGACATTATACGAATTTGACAGAATTTTCGTACGTAAAATATTTTTTCAGATATTTGATCAGAATTAGATAATTTTTGTTTTAGAACCATCAGATATACTCTTATGAGGTTTTGGCTTAGTCCCTCTCACTCTTTGTATTGTTTGGTTGATTGGTTATAAAAACCGGTAAACGTTCTCCAGAGTTTGGCCCACCGATTTTGGTGGTTTGCCTACCGGGTTACAAAGAAAAAAAAAGGTCTGTTTTTAGAAATTAAAATCTGGAAGATCTCTCGTGTTCTTTAGCTTTTGGATCTGCAACGATGGTGAGCTACGCAAACTTCACGGCATGAAGATCCAAAAATCTTGGATTAGTTTTAATCGATCTGGAGCTTTAACGGATCTTTGGTTCGCTGCAACCACCTAATGAAGGACGCTGGATATTTTGATATTCGGAATTTCGGACTTTCTAATGTTTTAGTTTTGGATATTTTGTTTTTTTGGGGCATTTTTGAAATTCTCCAAATTTTAAAAGAAAGAAAATTGTCGCTGAATGGTACGGAGTATTTAACTAGTTAGTACTTCGTAGAGACTCTTTCGTCATCCGGATAAAACCAAATCGAGTTATTGGTTTTAATCATAATAATTATTAGGAAAAGTTGACAAGAATAATCGCACCTTTCGCCGGTCTTCTCATAATAATCCCACTTTTAGATAATCCCGGAATAATCTGACTTTTGCACCCCATTTTCTTTCATTGGACCATGACCATGTTTTTTACCTTTCTTTGAAAATCTTATATAAATAATCTCACATTTATAAACATGTAATAGAAAAGTGAAAGGTGAGATTATTTATATGATTTTCAAAAAAAGAGTAAAAATAATGGTCAGGGTCCAATGAAAGAAGACGGGGTGCAAAGGTGGGATTATTCCGGGATTATCTAAAGGTGGGATTATTATGAGAAGACCGGCGAAATGTGGGATTATTCTTGTCAATTTTTCCTAATTATTATTAAGCATGCTTTTACTTTAATTGTTAATTGTACTATTTATAAATTGCATTTATATTGCATGCTTTAATTGATCTGTCTGAGTTAGATCTCATCAACATATTATTTGATAATATGTTTTAGCATCTTGATTAAGTAATTTAATACCCCGCTAAATGTTCCCCATAAATTAAAATTTAAGTCTTACCTAGGATAACGACATCACCCATCATAATTAAATTAGTAGAAATATTTTTTCGTTGAAGAATATTTTACCCAAGTGTTTATTTCATTCGACAAAATATAGAACTAATTTATAGATACATATGTTTGTGATCGTGTGATGGTTTTGACTTACTTAAATTAGCTCGAGTCGCCCAAGCGTCAGTGTTAATTTAGGCATGTCGATCAATTTGAAAATTGATCAACAAGAATTGCTTGGACGCAATTGGTCTAGAGACCTACCCATTATATTATTGTAGTGATCAGCCCAAGCTGGGACTGTAATATTACTGATGGATAGTGTACCCGGGTGGTAGCTTATCTGAGGGTTTATTACTGAGAATAACTAGAGAGAAGTCAGAGTAAATAAGTAAGAGAGAGAGTATGTATTCGATATGAATTCAGCGTGTTCAAGTTGTGTCTTACAACGGGGAAAAGGGGGTGCTATTTATAGTAGTAATAAATGCTAGAGAGGGACACGTGTCAAGCATCCAACGGCCGAGGGCCACGTCAATCGGAGTGGAACCGGCACTTGCATGTGGCCGCATTAAATGCAGCGGTTGGATGTGACGTTGTAATTGGTACAGTGATCCAGGCGCATGTGGAGAGGAGATTATGTCAGGTAGATGCCTTCGACTGTAGATGATAAGCCGGAGGCTCTTCATACCGGGGGCCTCTCAGTGCCGAGGGCTCTAAGTGCCAAAGGCTACTGATTTCGCCGTTTTTCTCCCAGTAGCTTCGTATGCCCAAAACCAGCTGTCATGTGAGATTTCGAGCCTTCGTCCTAGGGGGCTGAAGGCATCCATATGTGCAACGTGAGTTCCTTGATATTTGGGGCGCTGTGATTTGGGCATGTTATACTTCCTGGGCTTGTTGGGCCGGTGTTTAGAGTAGCAGGGCAGTCTCTCAGTCCCTCACATTTTGGGTTTTGAGGGGCTGTGTTGATATTTTTTAGGGAAGGTTTTAACACTGTGATTTAAGACTTTGTGATTTTCCCGAAGGGATCCTCCAGTCCCCCCACTCCCTGAAGCACATGTAATGTGGTAAAAAGGAGTAGAGTAGTGCCTATTTTTATCTTAGGGCCGAAGGCTGACGTTTTTCATTTCATTTTGGGAGGATGCCTCGTTAAAAACCTCATTAGGAAAAACCCTGTGGGAAAAATCCTAATGAGGGAAAAAGAGTGCACTGAATTCCCCGAATGATGAATCGAAAAGGTGAACCCTTGGTCTGAGATGAAGGACAATGTTGATGTCGAGAGGTGTCCGTGAGTTGAGGGTCTTTCTTCTGGTTTAGCCGAAGGCTGATTGTTGATATCCCGGGGATGCCGAGGGGAGTCCCTCAATCATTGGGGCTGAGGGTGTGCTGACATAAGTGATAGTTCCTGTGTTGCCGAGGGGGGTTCCCTAGCTCTTGATAAGTTGGAGGCTGAGGGCTCCTGGGGAGTCCCGTTATCTTTATGCCGGAGGCTAACCATTGATGAGAAGGTGTGATCGTGGGGGTTTCCTGGCTCTCAATACGTTGACTCCTATTGCAATGTCAGAGGCTCCCTTTGATGAGGGATCCGAAAGGGTTAGCCCGAGGGCATTCCGAATACTGTCTGAGGGGTTTCAGATGAGGGTGCCTTAGTCTGCGAAGAAGAGCCATTGGGATATGACCGTTGGAATATGACCGTTGGAGGTGGCTGACCACGTGGCATGTAGCTGTTGGCTGGTTTCGGGCGGGCGTCACCGGTTGGGTGAAACGACGGTACGTAATGATGACTTTGGTGACTGGGGCCCCGGCTATCGGCCCAAGCCCGGATTGGGGAGGCTATAAATATCCCATGGCTAGGGCCATTCCCCCTTACACATCCTTGTTGTAACGAAGCGCTGGCAAAAATTTTCTAAAGAGAGAAACTCCCCTTCGATCCAAACCAAGCTCCCGAGGTCAGTCCTTCTTTTGTTCTTCGCTCCAGCTACATACTTAGATTTAGTGTTAGGGTTTTTTTAGGAAGCCCCTTGTTGTAGAACCCTTCGACCTCTTCTACACAAGAATGTCTTCGCAAAGCGACTCTTAGGACATCTCGAGGGAGCCTTCGGTTGAAGCCGAGAGTATCTCAGACGTGGAGTCTTCCAGCGGGCAGCCCTCGGTAAGTGGTGATTCCGCCATTGCTATGGAGGTGCAGAAGGATCTCGTCGCCGAGGCCGAGGCCGAGGAGTTCGAGCAAGTAGTTGAAGACAAGGAGCTCGCCTTCGCGATGCAGACCGCTGAGGAAGAGGAAGAGAAGGAGAGGCAAAAGGTCACCGTCGCCATCCTCCCCCCTCGTGATGTTGGTGAGGCAAGTTTCTCTCGACCGTTGAACTCGATCCCTCTCCGGGTTGCCCCAGAAAGAAGAGCAAGAAGAAGACGGGGGCTCCCAAGAAGAAAGGCAGTGTTGCAGACCAAGGGAGGCCCGTCGGTATACAGGAGGGGTACTCATGGTTGAATACCACCGCCCTGGAGATGACGTCGAGACCTGACAGGGCGGAGTGCTACGTGACGCAGCTGCATGTGGAACCCTCGGCGACGGTGGTGGAGCCGGGGCCAAATGACGTGCTATCCCGGGCTTCCGAGGGGTGTTTCGCAGTGCATGTGCTCTCAATCTCCATGGGCCTTCGATTCCCTCTACATCCGTTCCTCCTTGAGTATCTGAGGTACGTTGGCCTGGCCCCCTGCCAACTCACCCCAAACGGTCACTCTTATATCACCGGCTTCTTGGAACTCTGCCATTCCCGGGGGCAACACCCAGCCTCGAGCTAGTCTTTCAGAGCTTCAACCTTTGCCGGGGGGTCATGTAAATTTTGAAGGGTTCGCAAACCTGCAGCAACTTGCCCCGTGGAGGCTATCTGATGATGTGCTGTCGTCCCATAAGTGTTGGAGGGATCGTTTTTGCTATATCAGGATGGCGGAAAACCCATTTCCGGGGGAGCTGCGGAACTACTTCAGACGGCATCCGAAGGTGGAGGATTTCTGCGTTTGAGAAAGAGGGAAAAAGGATCGCTGCTATACCGGAGGGCCGAGAGAAGCATACGACGATCAAGGAGCTGACCGTCGATGATAATTTGTATGACCTCAGCTTCCGGCGCTACTGCTTTCTGGGGGAAAACGACAAGAAGTACCCCATTCTCGAACGAGCCTTCGAAGGCACTGGAGGTAGTCCCCGGACCCTTCGATCTGACCCCTTCTTTTTGTTTTGCAGGTGCTAACATGGATGTGAACTCCCTCTTCGCCATGAAGAAGCAAAAAGGGAAGTCCAAGAAAACAAAGGAGTCGACTATCCAGAAAGCGGTCGATACCTTCTACAGGAAGGATGGGGAGGAGCCCTCCCAGGCTGTGGCTGGTGATGGAGCCAGGGACTTGAAGAAGAAGAGGGCCGGGAAGGAGACCTCTCCCCCGGCCATAAAACATAGGGCTACCGCCTCCGGCAAGCAGCCGGCTTCTGATGAGGTGATTGTTGTGGACGAAGCCGGCGGCTCCATTCCTGTTACTAAAGCAAAGGTGATGCTCTTTCAATTGCAATGGTGCCTAGAATAAAAGAAGAGGAATATGCTATAGCCTATAAACTAGAGAGTAGCTGGGGGTGTCCCCAGAACTGCCTGAACTTAGTATGCCGTCTTTTGAAACAAGAAAGCAAGTCGGTAAATGTGATAAGAGTGACTCATGTAATCAAAGTAATCCATAAGTAGTCATGCATCGAAACGTCTTCTCGAATGTAAATCTGAATAATAGATAGATTATATACAAGCGTCTGAGGATGCAATAGACTAGGCAGTTTGGAATGTTCTAAAAAAATCAGAGAGCAAGGCCACTAAGAAACAAATGGTTAGTCATAGAAAAATTGCTTTCCCAATACACATATACTTAATGTGTGTTTTGGATAAGTGCAATCCCTCCTGCATATGTCCATCAAACCCCAAAGGTAAGAGCAGGAAGAAGATAAATGGCAAAATCCAATCTACAATTACAAATGGAAACATGGAACTTAGGCATTAGATAGATCATAACCCGGGAGGGGAAGAGAACACAAAACCTCGATTTTTTCTGTAAGAATAGAACGATAATCCAACTTGGCATCATGAGGTTTGCTCGAAAAGACACTAGCCTAGCTAGCTAACCTTTGACAGAAGCAATGGGGAAACAAAAACTAGCAATGCATAGATAGCACTAGTTAGTATGTATATGCATACACAAAAGACTCCTCAAAAGCAAAACATCCTCCGGTTATCAATACATGATAAAATGGCCGGGTGCATCTCTGACCTTGTTTGCGATTATGGGTGCAGACAAAATCTATTGTGGTGCTGGGTTTTTAGACAGCTGGAGAAGACGAAGACACTCGACTTAGCAGGGCACCGGCGCGGCCTCTATGGGAGAAGGGAGATTTACTTAATAGTACAAAAACATGGCTTTTTCCCCAAAATAGGACCATATAGTTTAAACATTCTTAAATAGGACTTTTTATGTGTGATTGGGCCAAAATACCCCCACTGCTGCCCATGGACTGCTGCCTGCTGCCAGCCGCCAGACCTACGGCCACCGCAGCCGGCCGCCGTCGCCGTAAAATTCCCAAAAAAAAATCTGGCAGACTAACAGATTCTGCCGCTGCCGCCACACACTGTTGCCGTTATTTAAAACATGTGTATTGTCTACTTATTGTCTATTTATTGTCTATTTAATGTCTTTTATTTAGGTCAATTTAATAATCTGCCGCCGTCGCCGGAATCCGCCGCCACTGCCGCCACCAATGCCGTCACCATCGGACTGCCCCGCCACCGACGGACTGCCTTGGTTGTGCAAGAAAACTAGGGGGGCAATTAATTGAGTTAATTAGTTAATTAATTCAATTAGGGGTAAAAATGGAATGGTTAGTACTATTTAGGGAAAACCAAACATTGAATCCTATTTTTGAAAAAAGCCTATGTCTTTGTCTTAGCCATGGCAATTTTCTCGTGAGAGAATGCTCGTTCCGACTGGAGAGTGTTTCGTGGAGTGCAAGAAAAAGAGTGAGTATTGCCAGTCAACTCTGTATGCTAAATTAAATGGAAAAAGTTGTTTATATACCTAATTTGTAGATGTA